ATAATTAAGTATTTTGTTAGAACTCAATGATTATCATAATTATATTTTAGATTTTTTATATTTAAAATGAGATGTTTATCTTGTATTTGATTATATTTATCTACAGTTAGTTACACAAATTCAGATATAAAACTTTAGTAAATATATTTATGCATAATTTATTTATAATCTTAAGTTTTAAATAATATGCATTAATAAACAGTATTTTACACATACAAAAATAGTTTTTAAATTTTTTTGATATACTCAATTTCAGCCCCTCTCTTGGAAGTTGGAAGAATCAATGGCGAAGAGAGGGCTCGCTCTCCTTCCCAACCTCACAGGCGCACTTTCTTCTTCCTCTTCAATCTCTAGTCCAAAGTTCGTTTCTTCCAACTCAAATCATGGTGTTGTAGAATCTCTTGATACCGACGAACAACTCAGAAAACTTCACGTACTCGTTCAACAAGGCCAAACTCAAACTGCCAAAAATCTAATTAAATCCCTCATAACTTCCAAAGCCATCTTCACAACTCCTTCTGATATCTACACTCAGTATAAGGAAAAATCTAAAGATTTTTCAAGCATGGTGTTATCGGTTTGTGCTGAAGCAAACCTCCCCAATGACGCCCTTGAGTTGTACACGTTAATCAGAAAAGATGGCGTCTTTCCTTCTCTTGTTTCATTTAATTTACTTCTGGAATGTTTGGTTTCTTCTTGTCAGTATGGTAGAGTGTTAGATTTATTTGATCATGTTCTAAGTTCCGGTATTAGGGTTGACAAGTTTACGTTCGGTAAGGCTGTGCAATCAGCGGTTAAGATGGGGAACTTGAGACGGGGTATGGAATTGATGGATTGCATGAAGACTAATGGTAGGATGAGCGTTAGTAAGTTTGTGTATAATGTTTTGATCGGTGGGATGTGTAAGGAGAAGAGGGTGATGGATGCACGAAAGCTGTTCGATGAAATGCTTGAGAGGGATGTGGTGCCTGATAAGGTTACTTTTAACACTATGATTGATGGGTATTGTAAGGTAGGGAATTTAGATGAGGCGTTTAGGATTCGTGAAAAAATGAAAGCTAGTAATGTGGGGGCGAATCTTGTTACGTTCAATACACTACTAAATGGGCTTTGTAGAGGGAAGAGGATGGAGGAGGCAAAAAGTGTGTGGGAAGAAATGAAAGTTCATGGCTTTGTTCCTGATGGGTTCAGCTACAGTTTTATGTTTGATGGGTTCTTGAGGTCCGGTGATTTGGATTCTTGCATGGCTTTATATGAACAGGTGGATAAAGATGGCATTCGTATAAATGGATACACTTGCGGCATTTTATTGAACGGGTTATGCAAGGGAGGGAAAACCAATAAGGCTGAGGTGATTTTGGCGAAGTTAATGGAGAACGGATTCGTTCCAACAGAGGTAATCTTCAATATCATAGTCAATGGTTATTGCAAGGAGGGTAACACAGAAATGGCCCTCTTGACAATGGAAAAAATGAAATCCCACGGGTTGAATCCCAGTTGCAGCACTTTCAATTCAGTGATCAACCAGTATTGTCAATCTGGTAATCTTATTGAGGCGGAGGAATGGGTGAAGAGAATGGCGGAAATGGGTGCTTCTCCAGATGTGGTGACTTACAACATACTACTTGATGGGTTTGGACGGAATTTGCAATTCGATAAGTGCTTTGAGATCCTTGAAGAAATGGAAAGTTATGGCTTAAATCCAAATCCCATAAGTTATGGCTCTCTAATGAACCAATTATGCAAGAACGGAAAGCTTGTCGAAGCTGAAGTGGTTTTCAGAGATATGATAGGTAGGGGTGTTTTGCCAAATACAAACATATATAATATACTTATCAACGGGTACTGTAATGGAGGGAAGATACAAGATGCTTTCAAGACTTTCGATGAAATGTTGAGAAATGATTCCGTTCCAACTCTGGTTACGTACAATACCCTCATAAATGGGCTCTGTAAAATGTGTCGGGTTGAGGAAGCCGAAGAACTGGCATCAAAAATGGCAAATGGAGGTCTCAAATATGATGTGATTACATATAATTGCTTAATATCTGGCTATTCAGCCAAGGGAGACAGCGACATGTGTTTAGAGTTATATGAAAAAATGAAAGGATCCGGGATTAATCCTACTACCAATACATATCATCCGCTAATCGTTGGATGCAAGAATCAGGGATTAGTGGTTGTAGAAAAACTCATGGATGAAATGTCACAGATGAACTTGAATCTTGATCGGGTGCTATATAATGAACTAATCCGTTGCTATTCAGAGCATGGTTTGGTAGAGAAAACTTTTGAATTGTATCATGAGATGGTTGGTAACGGAATTCTTCCCGATAGGATGGCCTACAATTGCTTGATCATCGGGTACTTAAAGGAAGGGAAGGTTCACGAAGCAAAGGATCTTGTCGATAAGATGAAGGAAACGGAATTAGTTCCTAAATCCGATACTTACGACACAATGATCAAGGGCCTTTGCGATATCAAGAAGTTCAGTGAGGCGTATATTTGGTATAGAGAAATGGTTGCCAATGGGTTTTTGCCAAGTGCAAGTGTTGCTAATCAGCTTCTTACTGGTCTTACGGAAGAAGGAAGGTTACAAGAGGTCCAGATAATGTGCTCCGAGATGGGCATCAAAGGATCGGATTGTTCGAGTGCAAATGACGAAAATCGTAGATACAGTTAACGCGAACTCGGTATTTATAAATTATTTTTCCAAGTATAACTTTGATTACCCTCTTGTAAAATTGCTTCTAATTACATTTAATAACTTTTAGTATTTACCCTCCAAGAGGGAGGTTTATTTAAAAACCCCGAATATTTTGAGAACCCAAGAACCACTTATTTTATATAATATTCATAATGAATAATAATGAATATTATTCATCATGAATATTTGTCTTGACATTCATGATAGGGGAGAGGAGCAAAGACCTCAAGCACACCTTGTAGAGCAGCTCAAACCTGGGGAGAATTCGGCAACTTTCAGGTTCAATAGCGAAGAGATTGAGAAGCTGAAAACCTTTTTGGATCTCGTGAACCCTTGATCACTTTTAATCTCATGTCTACCCATGAATTGCGCTTTAGAAGGGAATTGATCTTCGGTGCACCTCATTAGTTTTGGCATTCAATTAGGATTGATCCAATGTTGGAGATCTCTTCTTATGTTTCTCGCATAACTTCCCATATATATATATATATATAGGAGAGGGATCAAATGCAAGCCATTTGTACAAACCGTTGATTTCATTGTTTAATTTAATGAAATTGCTTCATCTACTTCTTTTATTGATGAAATTGTTTCATATATTTTTGTTACTATGTAAAAATGAAATTATTTCATGTATTTTTCATTTTGATGAAATTTGTTTTCTAAAATTAATATAATGAAAATGATAATTGTCCCTAATTAACTTCCTCCACATAAAAATGACTAATCGACCTTCATAATTAAAATAAGTGGAAAAAAGTTATGATTAGTTGATTGAGGTTTGCACGGTTTGTACAAATGAGGAGATTTGCATTTGATCTATGTCCAAGTAACCAAAAAAATTACAGTAGCCAATGGTTCTTTAGTTACTGTTGCAGGTTTCGAAGATATACGGTATCACATCTGTCATGTGTCCTCGAAAATGTCCTCCATTTACCAAATTGTTTCTATTCAAAAGCTCACCCATGATTCTAAATATTGAGCGATTTCTTTTCCGTGTATTGTTTTTCAGGAACGGGGGGAGGATTGGACTTGCTAAGGAAAGAAACAACCTTTACCATCTTAAATCACCCACTACAACAAAATTAGGTTTATAGGACGCTCTTAATTTCTAAGCGTCCTAATAGACCTCTTTATAGGACTCGGTTTATAGGACCAAAAAACAAAGTGTCTTGTCTAAAGGTGTTGTAATAAATTTATATGACTTTTTTTGACGTCATAATAAGTTTTTTATAACAGTTTTAATATAAAGCATCTCATTGGCAACGTGATAAGACAATATTTGAAAAAATGTCTTATAGAAACAAGTGTCCTACAAAAAATTGAATTTATAGGACACTTTCTCAAAAGTATCCTATAAAGTTGCTAATGTGACGTTTTGTATTAAAAATGTCTTAAAAAACTTGTTAAGACGTTCAAAAGCGTCATATAAACTTATTACAACATCTTTAGATATGACGCTTTATATTTTGGTCCTATAATTAAGTCCTATAAAACAGTCTATTGAAATGCTTAGAGATTGGGGGCGTCATATAAATCCAATTTTGTTAGTGACCTCAAAAAATTAAGAGCACCCTACCTTTGACTTTCTTCAGTTCACCAGAACATTTCCAATGCTATAACTTTCCTATAATAGAATATGAAAAAGTCAAATAAACATCTCAAGCAGTTTTGCTATAATTTTTCTATTTCAACATAGCTGTTGGAGATGCTCTCAAATAACCATAACATGTGTGCGTGCTCGTGTGTAGGTCACTCATTCTTTTAGGGGTTTTAAAGGTCATGTTTCAAGGATTAGATTCTAAGTCCTGTTGTGATATTTGTGAATTGGTGAAACATACGCGTGTATCAAGTATTGTTCTATTATGGTTGATTCACAACGACATATGGAGGCGATTTTAATTCATAGTGACCTTCGATCATACCTAATGCTTCTTTTGTGGCTTTGTTGTATCCTTAATTGATGATTGTATTTGGGTTACAGTGTTCTTTCTCCTTGAACAAAAATATGAAATTGGCGTTACTATACCTAACAAGTAAATTAAAGAAAGCCCAAAAGATATTTATATTATACATAACTAATCTCATAAAGCAAAACGATTACTTAGTGGAGAGAGAAACGTAAACGTCTTKTATGTCCAGAATTATGAACATCGACGGTTGCAATCATGTTGCACCTTAAGAAATGAGTGAATACCTTTAAAATTCTTCAATTAATTTATCATATAATTGCATTATTAAAAATAAAATTATATATGATTCATATAATAACTCATACATGATCCRGACGACTTTACCCTGCGACTTAAGTGGCCTCAAAAGTCGCAAG